AAGCAGTGGTATCAACGCAGAGTACTGTATGAATAATACCAGCCCTCGCACCAGTATGAGGGTCTTCTTTTATCAATTCATATGTTATTGCTGGCAATCTATTACCTCGCTTTCTTTTATTAATTTTATTCTAACCAATTTAGTATATCACTTTATGACACTGCTTGCAACGTATATTTATTATTTATGGAAATATTTTTCGTTATCGGCATAAAAAAATGAGATACTGCACGAGCTATCACACAGTACCTCACTTTAATTACTTAGCGAAAAAAGATTTAACCCAATCTATAGTGCCTTTTATCATTCCTGCCTTATTTACATTTTCATCAGAGAGCAGATCCGTTTTCCCCACGACCTTGCCATCATAGATTACATTTACTTCACCGATTATCTCGCCCTTCTTCACTGGAGCTTTCAAATCTTCCTTCAGCTCCACTTTCTTGGTGTATGCACTTCTGTCACTGCCATCAGAGCCAACAGTAATACCTTCTCTGGCATGAGCCGTTATATTGCTGTTTTCACCAAATGGTATGAAAACATTATCAAATTTCTCTCCACGCCTTACCACGTCAAGGGGAGATACCTTGGAAAAAACCATAATCCAGCATGGCTATAGAGTCGTTCCACATATATGGAGCATCAAGAACAACTGCTATCAGCTGAACACCATCACGCTTAGCCGCAGACACAAGGCATCTGCCTGCCGCATCAGTATAGCCAGTCTTGACCCCATTACCGCCATCATATAACCACAGCATACGGTTTTCATTACCGAGGTCACGATTGTATGGATTTACCGACCATGGTATCTGTTTTTCCTTAGTACCGACAATCTTGGCAAATTCAGGATTTTGGTAGCCATAAGCGGCAATAAGAGCCAAGTCATAAGCAGTAGTATAATGTTCTGGGTCAGGCAGACCGCTGGAATTAGCAAAATGAGTATTCACTGCACCAATTTCATGCGCCTTCTTCGTCATCATCTGGGCAAACTTAGGCACTGTTCCTGCTATGTGTTCTGCTACCGCCACTGTTGCATCATTACCAGACACCAGCATCATGCCATACATAAGCTGCTCCATAGTCAGCTTCTCACCAATCTCCAGCCAGATGGTAGACCCCTCTGTACCAGAAGCATTACTGCTGGCTGTAACCACTTCATCAGGCTTTGAGTTCTCCAGTGCTACGATAAGTGTCATCATCTTGGTAGTGCTGGCAGGATAACGAAGCTGATCCATATTTCTCTGGTACAGAACCTTGCCAGTAGCCGCTTCCATCACCACAGCCGAACGAGCCGTAACCGCTGGCAATGCATCCCCTGCTGGAACTATTGCGTAGGCATTTGCATCTACGTTATCTGCCGTAGTAGCGATATGTGCATTCTTGTCAGCAGGTATATAATCATCATTATTATTTTTCTGCTTTTTAGCGGATTTATCGTTATTAGCACTTTGGTGATATCTTGCATTATCACCATCATGCTTAGCACTGACTCCACTTCCAAGGACTACACCGGCAGCGACAGCCCCTATTAACATTACCACTATAGTTATTTTAAAAACAAACTGCTTCACTTATAGCTCCACCTTACCGTATTTTTATCATTCCCTCGCCAAGAATTTTTTCAAGCTCTGGAATAATTGACTCATCACCATTTACCCAATACTGCTCCTGACTCTTTATGGTCTGCCTTCTACGAGGAAAATACATTATCACTGGATAATTTCCCTTGTAACGGGCAAGTACCCCCCTTGATAGCATCATATATTTCCTGTTTTTCATTTTCTGCCTGTATCATGATATAGTATGATGGCTGATAATCCTTTAGCAAAGTAACATTATCTGCTATAAGCTTTACACCATCGTCAACTATATTCACCTTTCCCTGAACCATAACAGCCGTATCAGGTACAAGATTATTTACACATTCATAGAATACACGTGGGAATACAACTACCTCAATGCTGTGGGTGAAGTCCTCCAGCTCCACAAAGCACATGGTATCTCCCTTCTTGGTAGTTATCCTCTTGGCAGAAATTATCATTCCGCCCAGCTTCACAGTCTTTCCTTCCGCCAGCTGTCCACTTAATACCTTCTCTATACTGGTAAAACCACGAATTATATTGCCATACTCATCCAGCGGATGACCTGTGATATAAAAGCCTGTAATCTCCTTCTCCCATGTCAGCCTTACAGCCTTCGGAACCTCCAGCAAGTCCTTCAATACAACCTGATTCGCTTCCTCCATAACAGAGTCATCAAACAGACCCATCATACCGCTATTCCTGTCCTTCTGAGCTGCTACCGCCAGATTGAGAGCCTGCTCCAACGCCTCCAACAGCTGAGAACGCTTCGCCCCCGTACTGTCAAATGCACCGCACTTTATCAGACTTTCCATAACCCTGCGATTTACCGCCTTGTTATCTACACGATTACAGAAATCACTTAAATCCTTAAAGGCACCATTTTTATTACGTTCCTTGACAATACCATCAATCGCAGCCTCGCCTACGTTCTTCACTGCTGCCAGACCGAAACGGATAGCCTCACCATCGACACTGAACACCATACCACTGGCATTTATATCAGGTGGCAATATACTTATCCCCATGCGGTGACACTGCTCAATATACACGCCCACCTTGTCATTGGTATCCATTATGCTGGTCAGCATAGCCGCCATAAACTCAGCAGGATAATGTGCCTTAAGGTACGCTGTCTGCCATGCTACATAAGCATAAGCCGCACTATGGGATTTATTGAAGCCGTAATCAGCAAAATGAGTCAGCAAATCAAAAATATGCTGTGCCAGCTCGTCAGGAAGCCCCTTCTCCTTAGTCCCCCTTCAGGAAATTTTCCTTCTGTGCCATCAGTATAGAATGTTTCTTTTTACCCATAGCACGGCGGAGCAAATCGGCCTGTCCCAGACTGAATCCAGCCAGCACCTGCACTATCTGCATTACCTGCTCCTGATAAAGCACCACGCCAAAGGTTTCCTTCAATATAGGCTCAAGAAGAGGGTGCATATATTCGACCTGCTTTTTGCCAGCACGTCCCTTGATGAAATCCTCTACCATGCCACTGCCAAGCGGGTCCAGGGCGATACAATGCCACTGTAGGAATAAGATCGACAAATCCCTCTGGATGCAGGTCCTTAACCAGTGCAGTCATGCCTGACGACTCCATCTGAAATACAGCACCAGTCTTACCCTGACACAGCATTTTCGCTGTCAGCTCATCCACCCAAAGGAATCCTGCTTAAATCTACCTTCTCGCCTCTTGCTCGCTCTATATTTTTAACTGCATCCGCCAGCACAGTCAAAGTACGCAGACCCAGGAAGTCCATTTTCAGAAGCCCAAGTTCCTCCACATGATCCTTATCATACTGAGTCACCAATGTACCGTTTGACACCGACACAGGCAGATAATCAGTTAATGGATTGCGAGCTATCACAATACCCGCAGCATGAGTTGATGAATGACGTGGCAAGCCTTCTACATCACGAGCAAAGTCTATCAGCCTTTGAACCTGTGGTGACTCATTGTAAAGCTTCATCAAATCAGATGATTCCTTCAAAGCCTTATCAATAGTTATCCCCAATTCCTCTGGTATAAGCTTCGTTACCTGACTAACCTCGTTAAAGCTCATATCCAGTGCCCGGCCTACATCACGCAACGCCCCTTTAGCCGCTAACGTACCAAAGGTTGCAATCTGTGCCACATGGTCCTCACCGTACCGTCTTTTTACATATTCAATAACTTCCTCACGACGCACATAGCAAAAATCCACGTCTATATCAGGCATGGTAACACGCTCTGGGATTGAGGAAACGCTCAAAAAGCAGGGCATATTCCAGTGGGTCAATATCGGTAATCCCTAAGATATATGCTACGATACTGCCTGCTGCCGAGCCACGCCCCGGACCTACTGCAATTCCCTTTTCCTTGGCATAGTTGATGAAATCCCACACAATGAGGAAATAGCTGTCAAAGCCCATGCTGTGAATAACTCCCAGCTCATACTCCAGCCGTTTCCTTATCTCCTCAGTTTCCTGTGGATAACGTGACAGCAGACGTTCCTCGCACAGCTGACGCAGATACATTTCATCGGTCATACCTTCTGGAAGTGGAAAATTAGGCAGATGACGATGTTCAAAATCAAACTCTACATTACAACGCTCTGCAATCTTTACAGTATTTGCCAAAGCATCTGGATATTCTGGGAATAGCTCTGCCATTTCCTCTGGACTCTTTACGTAGTAGTCATCACTGCTGAAGGTCATACGGTCAGTATCTGTTACCAGCTTTCCCATCTGGATACACAGCAGTACATCATGAAATTCGCTGTCCTCACGCTTCAGATAGTGGGCATCATTGGTGGCAACCAAACCTAAACCATACTTTCTCGCCAGCTCAATAAGCCCTTTGTTAGCTATCTTTTCTTCCTCTAAGCCGTGATTCTGTATCTCTATAAAATAATTTTCCTTGCCAAATATATCAATATATTCTTTTAGGGACTCTTCTGCCCCCCTCCATATCATCTTTTCTTATCTTGTCTGGCACTTCACCAGCGATGCAGGCACTCAGACAGATAATTCCCTCATGATGCTGACGAAGTAAATCCTTGTCAACACGAGGGTTTATAGTAAAAACCATCAATATTTGCCTTGGACACAAGCTGGACAAGATTTTTTATAGCCTGTGTTGTTTTCCGCCAATAAAATCAGATGATAATACCTGATACCTCTTACATCAGTCCTGTCCAATCGTGACTGCGGAGCGATATACACCTCGCAGCCGATTATAGGCTTTATACCTTCCGCTTTGGCCGCCTTATAAAAATCAATTACACCATACATGGAGCCATGGTCAGTAATGGCAATAGAATCCATCCCCAGCTCCTTAGTTCTGGCAATCAAAGGCTTGATGCGATTGGCACCGTCAAGCAGACTAAACTCTGTATGTACATGTAAATGTGCAAATGGAATCCTCTCTGGCATAAATCGCACCTCCAAAACAGAACAAAGGGGCGAGGTTTCCCCCACCCCAGTAATTATAACGTAGTTGTTCAAGAAAACTGTTTACAGTTTTCTTCCTATTGACGTTTCAACGAAGCGGGAGATATGCTCACCGCTTGTTAAAGTATGTTTCCCCCACTTACAGTAACCTGTTGATGAAGGGGACATCTTAGCTTCGTTATCAAACTTCCATAATAATAGGTAAAATCATCGGACGGCGGCGAGTCATATCAAACAGATAACGACCAAGAGCCTCACGAACATTCGACTTAATCAGTGACCACTCAGTAATCCCCTCGTCCTCACAGTTAAACAATGCGTCACGCACCCGTTCACGAGCTTCATCCATGAGAGCCTCAGACTCACGAACATAGACAAAGCCACGGGAAACTATATCTGGACCAGCCACTACATGACCACTTTCCTTCTCCATGGTAACAACCACGATGATGATACCATCCTGAGAAAGCTGACGACGGTCACGCAATACGATATTTCCTACATCACCAACACCAAGTCCATCAACAAGAACTCTGCCACTGGTAACACGTCCTGCAATCATACCCTTATCACGGGTAAATTCAAGAACCTGACCATTCTCGGCTATGAACACATTCTCCTTTGGCATGCCCAGTTCCCTAGCCAGCTTAGCATGACGTACCAGCATGTGATACTCACCATGTACAGGTACAAAGAACTTAGGACGCACAAGGTTGTGCATCAGTTTTAATTCTTCCTGACTGGCATGACCAGAAACATGTATACCCTCACCACGGCCATAAACAACATTTGCCCCCAGCTTCAGCAAATTATCTATAGTACGTACTATCATCTTCTCATTACCTGGGATAGGCGTTGCGGAAATGATAACAGTATCACCAGGAACTATAGCAACCTTGCGATGGTCTGACTGAGACATACGAGTAAGTGCCGACATTGGCTCACCCTGACTGCCTGTGGTGATAATAGTCACCTTATCATTTGTATAATTATGTATCTCATCAATATCAATCAAGGTACCCTCTGGTGCATTAATATACCCCAGCTCCAACGATATATTAACTACATTTACCATGCTTCGGCCTAGCACAGCTACCTTACGCTTATAACGCACAGAGGTATTTATTATCTGCTGAATTCTGTGGACATTTGATGAAAATGTTGCAACTATAACACGGGAACGAGCATTGTGGAATGCCTTATCAAAAGCGACTCCGACTGTACTTTCACTTGGAGTATGTCCTTCACGTTCAGCATTGGTACTGTCTGCCAACATCAGCAGTACACCCTTATTGCCCAAATCAGAGAAACGGCGGAAATCCGTCATCTTGCCATCAATAGGAGTATAATCCAGCTTAAAGTCACCAGTATGAACAATCATACCTAGTGGAGTCTTGATAGAAAGACCTACTGCATCTGGAATACTGTGATTTACTCTGATAAAGCCGACACTAAAACAGCCTACATTAATGATGTCACCCTGCATAACTGGATGAAGCATACTGGAATCCACATTTGCTTCCTGCAATCTCCCCTCCAAAATGCCCAATGTCAACCTAGTACCGTACACTGGAACACTTATCTGACGCAGGATATATGGCAATGCACCAATATGATCCTCATGACCATGGGTTAGCACAATAGCCTTAAGCTTATCGCGGTTTTCCATCAGATATGTGATGTCAGGTATAACTAAATCAATACCCAGCATGTCCTCATCTGGAAACATCAAGCCAGCATCGATAAGAAGCATCTCGTCATCATAGCGCACTACAGTCATGTTCTTACCGATTTCGCACAATCCGCCTAACGGAATAATCTGTAATTTTTGCGGTCCTTTTGCCAAAAAATTACACCTCCATATTCTATTTTAAAATTATTAACTACTTTACCGAACCAAACCCATATTTACCCAAAAACATAAAAAACTTTCCCGTACTAGTCGTTAATTTCTATTATACTACTAAATGAGTATATTTGTAAAGAAAAAAAACTTAAAATGTAAAAAAATTCAAAAAAAAGCAGCCAGCCGCCATAATGGCAGCCAGCCAACATCTTTATGTTATCAAGCACACGTCATCGACTATTACTCTAAAGCCTTAGTCAACATGCCACGATATTCTTCAAGAACCTTCTTAGGTCCCTTAATCTTAATCTCTCCGCCATAGCCGAATACCCAGCTATAGAATACAGGACTGGTGTAAACATCAACCTTAACCTCGAAGCGGTTATGGCTCATAGGCTTAGTCTCTACACCAACGCCAAAGCGGTCAATGATATCCTTCATGCGGCCTTCCTGACACTCCAGCTTAACCTTTACAGTATTATCGCCAGTCATCATGCCAAATGCCTTCTTGGTGTAATCAGAAGCCTTGAAATCCTCTGGCTTTGCAACAGCCTCTTCATCAGTTACCTGTGCTGCATACATGCGGTCAATGCGGAACTGAGAAATAGTCTCATGCTTATCAGAATATCCAACTACATAATAATGGTCATCATTCCACAGCATAGCATAAGGACTTACAGAATAAACATAACCATTATGCTTCAGCTCCATCTGCTTATCAGTGTTGTAGTCCCAATACTGGAAAGCAATCTTCCTGCCCTGAGTAATAGCAGTGTAGATGTTGTCAACATTGGTATAGATATCCTCATTAGCAGGCTTGCGGCGGAAATCAATAAACATCTGACTGGTAAGGCCCTCAGCCTGAGAAGTACTCATCAGACCACTCAGCTTCTCGATAAGTTCAGCAGTCTTGTCAGCAGAGATAACCTGAGATGCCACAACAGCATCCATCAGCATCTTAACCTCTGGAACCTTAAACTCACGCTCTTCCATGTAATAACGGTTCTGGGAAGTCTTGATTACATGAATCTTGTATCCAGCTTCGATAAGAGTATCAACATCATCTTTTACAGTCTTGCGGTTTACGGACATACCCATAGCAGCGAAATAACGAATTACCTGCTTAGTACCGATAGTATGCTGCTCATCAGTCTTGGTATACAGCAACTGATATAAGCGAACTAAACGGCCTTTCTTATTGCCCTTAACCCCCTTCATGTTCTTCAGCAGCTTCTCGATTTCCTCATCACTGATGACATTTTCGGAAAACTCAGAAATATCATCGCCAGACAGTTTACGAGGTGCACGAGTACGCACTGGCTTTACATTCTCAATCTCACTCATCTTTTTTCCCCCTAAATAAAAAAACATATAACCCAATCTAACCCCTAATACATAGAAAACATACTCGTAATATTAGTTGACTATGTAAAAATAGGTACAATTTTTTCACTAACTATATTTTATATAAAAAATTATTATTCGTCAATACTAAAAATTGAATTTTTTCAAAAAATTTGTATATTTTTCTTTGTTTTTATTTAATATTGATTATTTTTGCTCTTAAAATTCGTCTTACACTTTCGTCTACACGTTCCTGAGACAGCTCTCCAGAATTCAAAGCTTCCAATAATCCCATGTAGGCATCCTGCTCATGCTCGTACTCGTGACACATGAGAACAATATCCGCGCCGCCCTTGATGGCCTCTACAGCAGCCCGACGGAAACCATAATGATTTGCGATTGCACCCATTTCCATATCATCAGTCACTATAATACCACAAAATCCCAACTCTTTACGCAAAATATCATTCATTATTACAGATGATATACTTGCAGGAGTATTTCCATCTACCTGTGGATAAGTCACATGAGAAACCATAACACAAAATTTTTCTGGGTCATGGCTGTCTATTATTGTCTTAAATGGAACAATGTCCTTATTCAAAAGCTCACTTTTTAGCACATCAACTACTACACTATCATCATGGGAATCTGTGGCACCTGAACCTATGCCAGGGAAATGCTTCAATGTATAAAATACACCGACTTCCTCATAACCATTTGCCGCTGCGGAAACAAAATTTGCCGTTACCTGTGGGTCACTACTAAAATGTCGCTTCCCATTGGTCGAACCTAAATCAGCTACAGGTGCAAAATTCACATTAAAGCCCATAGCCTTTAATTCCTTAGAAATATTATAAGCACTTTTCTTAGCATTTTGAGGATCGCCTGTTTCACCCAGCTTCAGCTGATCTGGTGGCGGAATCAGCACCGACTTCATGCGAGCCACAGAACCACCCTCTTCGTCAACAGCAATAAACAGAGGAGCCTTCTCGTCACACTGCTCCTGCAAATGCTTATTAAGAACCGCAACCTGCTCCTTGCTCTCCATATTACGGTCAAACAGTATGACACCACCGAAATGGAACTGACGAAGCATGTACAAATTATCCTCGTTGACATCCTTGCCATGAATACCTATCATCATAAGCTGCCCCAGCTTCTCAGTACGGGACATCTTCTCCATGATTTCGTCTACCTGCTTGTTAATAGCCTCATCTCTTGCCATTTTCTCCTGCAGCTCCTTAGACTCCACCATCTGCTGTGAGTTCTGGGGCTGCTCCGCACTTTCCTCACCAGAAAACAGCATTTTGCACGCCGATACAGACAACACACAAAATACGATTAAACATGCCACTGCACCTATGACCCTTCCCCACGCAATTCTACGCTTTCTCTTTGTCATTTTAGCTATCCCCTCTTGATTTCACATTCATTAAATCATCTATACTCACTAATATAATATGCTTATCAGCAGCTGCCAATTCTCTGACAGCATCGGTAAAACCACTTTTTGAAAAGAACATATACCATGTCTCGCCCCTTTTAGGCTGCATAATCTCCGCTCTCTCTTTCAAAGTGTTTACCACACCTATATCCAAAAGCTCATTTCTCCACTTACACTCACCAAAGATATAATCATTTCCATCAACAGCCACCAAATCAATTTCAATCTGTTCATGCTGGATGGATGTAGAATTGGTCCCCCACCATCGGCCTAGCTGATAAAACATAATAGGCAGCTCACCTGCTGCATTTTTTCTGATTACATACTCATGACATATACGCTCAAAAGCCTGTCCCATATAATGATTCAAATCCGGCTCTACACGCCTGCTCCAAATAATCTCTTCTGCACCATTTTCCAGCTGACTGCGGTATCTCGCTACATAGCGGTACCAGAAAACAAACATTAAATCTTCAATATGGTAAATCGTTTTTCTCGATGTAGGCTTATCCAGCAAAGGAACTTCCCTGCTGACTAGCCCTAATTCCTCCAGCACCCTTATATATTTCAAGCATTTCGCACTTTCCTCACCTGTCTTCATGGAAATATCGTTTGCTTTAGATGCACCATTAGCTATTGCCTCAATTACACTAGAGTATACAGCAAGCTCCTTTACCTCCTGTCTAAGCAGCATATTTGCTTCCTCATACAGATATCCCATAGGATTAAGAAATAATCGCTTAACATTATCTGCAATAGATTTAGAATTATCAATCTGACTGAGGTATAGAGGCGTACCACCAAATATGCCATAAAGCAGTAATTTTTCATGCTGAGAAAAACCTTCTAAAAATAATGTACTGTCTGCATAATCCATAGGCTTTAACTTCAACTGGGCTGTCCGTCTGCCAAATAACGGACTTTTAACGCCTAATACCTCTTTTTCCATAAAGCCCATGTAGCTTCCACACAAAATAAGGAAAATTTTTCCTGTAGATAATTGAAAATCTATAATATGCTGTAAATCAGACAGCAATGAACTGTTGCCAGCCGCTAGGTATGGAAACTCGTCTATCACTACCACCAAAGGCTCTAATTGCTGACGTTCATTGACGTAGCTGAGAGCCTTTTCCATACTCTCAAAGGAGCTTCCATTCACCTCACCATAGTGCTGATACACTAACTGCGAAAATTTCTCTAAATTCATGCGCTCGTTGCTCTGACCTGCCGAAAAGAAAATTGATGGCTTATCCTTGCAAAATTCTCGAATAAGAGCGGTCTTACCTACACGACGACGACCATAGAGGATAAACATCTGAAATTTATCGGATTGCCAAAGAGCATTCAACTGGGAAAGCTCCCATTGCCTGCCAAGAAACATCGTATCACTTCCTTAATTAACTCTGGAGTTAATTACTTTCAAGTTAATTATAACGCTTTTAGTGAAGATGGTCAAGAATTTTTTACGCAAAAACAAAAGACCCTAGAAATTAATCTAGGCCCTTCGTATTACCTCTCTCTTATAAATTTAACAACCAATTAGTACCTTCTTGCCCTCAAAGGCAAATCCGTACTTCCTTATACGTTTTGCTGGTATACCCTTTTCCACAAGCGATGCTGCATAATTCATGTCATTTATCTGCTGTATGGCTGACGCAACTGTTTCTTTCAAATCCTTCTCATCCTCTGAATCATGCACCTTAAATTCCAAGATGATAGCATCGTGCTTGGAAATATCCTTAGGCTCCATCAGTACGTCATACCTGCCGAAACCACTTTCTCTGTTAGATGTTATGGTATACTCATTTCTAAGGTCTACAATCAAGCCTAGTACAAATCCATGATAAAATCTTTCCGGTTCGTTGTAAACTGATGGACCTTTACCTGTATCAAAATAGCTGAAGGTGGCCAAAGCAACTCTATTCATATAGGCATTCATTGCTTTAAGCTCGCCCTTTAACAAAGCTTCTACAAATTCATTATAACTGCAATCTTCATCATTAAACCAGCCACTTATCATTTTGCGGAACATCCTAAGTATTTCTCTATTGGTAAGATGCAGATAATATTCGTTCCTTTCAATATCTATCGGCTCTACTCTGGAGCCTGTCAAATATCCACTGGTAAACAGCATAGAAAAAACACTGGCTGGCGTTCCCTTTAGACCATTATAAACAATCTCCTCATCCAGCTCAACCTTTATGCTTCTTTCTTCTAATAACACTTGCATCATCTGTTTTACTTTGATGCTGCTAGTTTTTACAATCGTATTTATCAGAGAATTACTGCTTGAATTAGCCCAATAAGTTACATACTCACCCTTATTTTGTAAAAAACTTACAATTGACCATGGATTATATATATCTTTTTGGTTGCCTATGATAAAACCATCATACCATTCTTTTACTTTAGACTTTTCCTGCCCTAACCCATATTCATCCAATGATGAAAAAACTTCATCCTCTGTAAAGCCAAAACAATCAGCATACATGTTAGAACGCATTGTAATAACCCTTACATGGTTAAAGTCAGAGAAAATAGACTCCTTGCTAATGCGTGTGATACCAGTCATCAAGGCTCTCTCCATATATGGATTAGTCTTAAAGGTCGAATTAAAGAAACCACGTAAAAACTCCACAGCTTCTTCCCAATATCCACTTGTATATGCTTCCATCATAGGCGTATCATATTCATCAAGAATTATAATGACCTTTTTTTTATGATATTTTGCTTTAAATTCGCTCAATCTTTTGATACATCCGCTAAAATCTATATCATCTGAACCTGATCTTACCTTCAGAAAATATTGCTTCTGATCCTCAGATAGTATATCCTTCTCCAAAAGATAATTATTTTCCTCATATAGCTGAGAAAACAATTCCTTCATTTTCCCTTCAAATGTCTTATATGAAGTCTTTTTTATATCGGCAAAGCTTAGAAATATAACAGGGTATGCTCCCTGCAACGCTCGCATTTCCTCATTCTGCCATATTTCCAGCCCGCCAAATATTTTTTCTCCCTTGTCTTTATACTCTAGAGAAAAGAATGTTTTCACCATATCCATGGTAAGGGTTTTGCCAAACCTGCGTGGACGCATTACGGCTGTAGTATTATCTCCAGATTTCCACCATTCGCCTATAAACCTGCTCTTATCTATATAAAAATAATTATTTTTAATATAATCTTCAAAATTCTGTATGCCAATTGCTATCGTCCTCGCCATAGTGGACACCTCCCATCTGTCAATCCTTCTATATTATATCATATCTATGAGTAAAAAAAAAGAGACCTAATCATATACTTAGATCTCCTATATACACAAACTTAATTTCTTCATTACTTTCGCATGATAAATTTAATGACAAATAAACCAATAGCATAAAGAGCGATAATCGGCAGGGCCAGCATTACCTGACTCACGATATCTGGTGGTGTTATGATAGCACTTACAACAAAGGATGCAAATACCAGATACCTAAATTTGTCTACTAAAAATTTTGACGAAACCATATTTAATTTTGCTAAAACCACCATTATCAGTGGCAGCTCAAATACTAAACCAAAGGGTAACAGGAATTTCAATACAAATTCAAAATACTCGGCTACAGATATTACTGGTGTAAATTCACTACCAACGCCAAGCAAAAATTTTATAGCTAATGGCATTACTCCAAAAAATGAAAACGCCATGCCGCCCAGAAATAACAGTACAGAGGCTGGAACTAGCAGCAAAAGAAGCATTTTCTCTTTTCGTTTCAGGGCGGGCAAGAAGAATAGCCATATTTGAAAAAATATTATTGGCATAGCTATGATAAAGCCTGCAAAAATATCTATCTTAATATATGTGGAAAAAGCCTCCATCGGACGGATAACATTTAGTGTGCCTACTGGAGCTATGAAGTACGCCACAATGTCATCAAGAAATATATAGGCGACTCCCATACCAAAAGCCATACCCCACATGCAGCGTATAAGCCTGTAACGCAGCTCCTCCAAATGCTTAATCAGGGACATACTGCCCCCTTCGCCCTCGACTACATCCTTTACCTCATATTTTGATTCTGTATTTTCTTGAACTGCCTCCACCAAATCAGAACCGTTTCTTACATCAGACATTCTTGCTTTCCTTATCGTTCTCGGTAACATTAATCATCTTGGAGTCCTCAGTAGTGGCTTCCTTAAATTCACGAATACTTTTACCGAAGGCACGCCCAACCTCTGGTAATTTTCCTGCACCAAATACAACTAAACCGATAAGCAAAATAAGTGCTAACTCAGGTACACCTAAACCAAACATAACTACGCCTCCTACACACATAAAACATATACGAGAAAGAGCCAGAAATTAGTTTTCCAGCTCTATTCTGTCATACATAAATTCAATATTTGTCTATTTCTCAGATTTTCAACTTATCCTTACCGTAAAGATGTCTGTCAAAGCCCATCTCCTCCTTGGTGAAGCCTAACGCCAAACCTACTAACTGCTGCAAGTGAAGAATTGGCAATTCGGAGGCAGTACCTACAGTGCTGACACCTTCATCACCGTACATGTCAAACTGCATCTGACAAAGTGGACATGGAGTAACGATTACCTGTGCCTGAGCCTTGTCTGCACTGGTGATAATCTTGCCGACTGCACGCATTACATCATCTTCTGCTGGGTAAAGTGCATGGAAGCCACAGCAAAGACGGCTTTCATCAAAAGGTACTGGGTCTGCGCCCAAAGCCTTTACCAGCTTTTCAAAGGAATGTGGATTCTTGCCATCCTCATAATTCATTACATCATTAGGGCGGAGAATATGACAGCCATAATATGCGGCTACCTTAACACCAGTAAGAGGCTTTGTTACCTTTCCATTCAAAATCTCTGGATTCTTGTCCAACACCCACAGGAAATGTGTAATTTCAGCTGTCCCCTTATATTCGTATGGATGACCGCTGTCCTTAAGTATGCCATTTACCTTATCCTTTAAAGCCTGGTCACTATCCAGACGCTTTTTGGCATTACGCAGCTGCAGGGTACAGGTGTTGCAGACTGTCATAATAGGCAGCCCCATGTTTTCTGCGATAGAAATATTTCTAGCATTTACAACCAATGCTGCAAAATCATTTACGCCCTGTGCATGAGAAGCACCACAGCAGGTCCAATTAGGAATTTCTTCTAACTCTATGTCTAACTTTTCACATACCTTCTGCATGGAAGTATATGCTTCGCCAGCTGCACCCTTCAATACACAGCCAGGAAAAAATGCAAACTTCATTCCCATAATTATTCAGCCCCCTTTTCAGCCTTCTCAGCGTTCTTGACAATGGCCTGAATTGTCTTGATTTCAGGATTAGTAGGATGGCTTGCCATAGGGTCAAGCTTGCCTGACTTAAGTAATCTGATTGCCATTGGAAGTCTCAGAGCTGACATGAAGAAGCCTTCTGTCTTGATATTGAGCTTAGATTCATCAAGCATACCGCTGTCAGTGATATCCTCATAAACTGCCAAAGCATGACGAGAGCCTTCATTGTCTGGTAACTTATATTTGAAAGTAAATTCCTTCAGCTTTTCAATAGCACCAGCTGGGTCCAATCCCTTAGGACACTTTGCTGTACACTCCTGACAGTTGAAGCACTTCCAAAGACCTGCATCTACTACGGCCTTCAGATGCTCCTCTGGAGTCTTGCTGCGGGAGTCAATAACCAGCTTGGCAGCCTTTACAAAAGCAAATGGGTCCATGAAATCTTCCTGATTTAAGCTGTTCTTGTTGCACTCAGATACGCATGAGCCACAGAGAATACAGCCAGCCAGCTTTTTATAGGCATTGAACTCCTCAATACTCTGCTTACAGCCAGTTTCCATAGAAAATTCTGGCTTAGGGTCGAGAGCAGGCTTTATCTTCTTTAACTTGGCAAACTTTGGGTCCCAGTCTACAACTAAATCACGAATAAGTACTCTGCGTTGATACCACTGCTTATGGAGAGTATCTGTTTCGTAACGCTTTACCAAATCCTCCAAAAGAATTTCGCAGGCTAATTCTGCATTACCATTTACCTGCACAGCACATGCACCGCAGATACTGGAACGGCAGGCACTTGTAAAGGAAAGTGTTGGGTCCTGCTTTTCTTTAATCTCAGTAAGGCCCTCCAGAATAGTCATGCCAGGACGCAAGGTGATTTTGTATTCCTGAACCCAGTCCTTACCTTCCACTAAACGATCTATTTTCAGTGTAATGTCCATGATTAATACTTCCTTTCCTTAGGCTGGAACTTAGTGATAACTACGTCCTTATACTCGGAACGATATTTGCCATTTTCCTTAAATATAAGGGTATGCTTCAGGAAGTTCTGATCATCACGCTTAGGGAAATCACGACGGGTATGACTGCCGCGGCTTTCACGACGAGCCAACGCACCCTGAACTATACTATGTGCTACCTGCAGCAAATTACCTACCTCTATATAATGGTAGAATGCAGTGTTATACACATGAGAGGTATCGCCTACATAACAATGACTGTATTCTTCGGTCAGCTTATCCAGCTCCTGAGTCGCCAGCATGAGGTCAGCCTCAGTACGGAATACACCAGCCTTAAACCACATGGTATTAACCATAGCATCACGGATTTCTGGAACTGTCATATTGCCAGCCTTGCCACGGGTAGTTACTTCTTCAAACTTCTTCTTCCAGTTCTCACATGCTTCTGTAAATTCTTCCTTATTGCCTTCATACTGATGCTGAGAAGCAAACTCCGCTGCACCATCACCAGCTACATGACCAAATACCAGAACCTCAGAAAGGGAATTTGCACCAAGACGGTTTGCACCATGAATAGATACACTGCTGCACTCACCAGCCACAAATACGCCCTCAACACGAGATGCACCAGTCTTAAAGTCTGCCATTTCCAAACCGCCCATAGAATAATGACAGGTTGGAGAAATCAGAACTGGCTCCTTGATAATATCTACGCCAGCAAAGCGGTATGCCAGGTCACGAACCTGTCCCAGACGCTCCAATATAATCTCTGGCTTAATCTGACGGAAATCAAGATATACACCAGCATGTACACCTTCGCCGATACCACGGCCTTCCTCTATCTCGATAGCGATACCACGGGCTACAACGTCACGAGTTGCCAGCTCCTTTTTCTCTGGAGCATACTTGCCCATGAAACGCTCACCATTTGCATTAACAAGTATTGCACCCTCTGCACGTGAGGACTCAGACATCAGTACGCCATTGACAGAAAGACCAGTTGGGTGGAACTGCACCATCTCAGGGTCCTTAAATGGAATACCGATATTCATGCCTGCTACGATACCATCACCAGTAGAACTGAATGGATTTGAGGTACGAATCCAATAAACACGACCATAACCGCCAGTTGCTATTATTACAGACTTAGCAGGTATACCTAATATATTTCCAGTCTTCATGTCCATAGCAATAACGCCATTTACCTTGCCGTCCTTGGACATGGAAATTTCCAACATCTGACACTCAGAGATAAATTCTACATTTTGCTTCAGGCAAGTACTCTGCGTTGATACCACTGCTTTT